TTTTGACTTGTTGAACTATGATACTGTAACTGGGGCTCGAAGTGTTATTACTTCATTTACTGCTTTTGAAACTACCTCTTCCTCTCTCATTTATGAGGTTTTGGTTGCTCCCCTTCCTCTCTTGTCCCTCGTTGGCTGGGATCAGGGCGGGCCAACGATTGCCTCGGCAGTACCACCTACGAATTAAATTAGAAATTTACGAAGGGTAATGCCAGAGATCTCAGAAACTATATCAAACTTTAATGGAAACAACTCTAACTTCTTTTGATGTAGTGCATCAAAAAGAAGAAAAAATAATATTCACAAAGAATGGACGATTGTGAACACATTCTTCAGAATGAAGACTGTGGGCCGGTTGCATAAAGCTTTCCATATGGGTTCCATAGCTGTGGGTTCAATAAATTTATAGATTCCATAAGCCGTGCACCGTTGCATTAAGCAAATTTAGAGAATCTATAACTGTAGATTCTATAAGAACTTCGAGATGCATCCAATAGATAGTGACACAGTCGATGTTTGAACACTACTTATTCCTTACAGCGTTTTGCACTTCTTAGCGTGTGTTCCGTTTACTTGGCGTTCTTGGTTGTGTTTCTTAACGCATTCTTAGTAGCAATTTCGTTTTATTTCATTATTTTCATTTTAGTTTATTTTTTGTTTAATTTTTGTAGTATATACAATTACTTCTTTATATTAGCCATAACCTATTTGTATTTAAATAAATTAATTTACCTTCCATTCTTAACTTTAAATATTAACTTTTGCTGATACAATTAATAATAAATTATAATTAATAATGAACTACAAATCAAATCCCTTTGAAATACAAAGTAATAATTAATTTGCTATCTAAACAATTAAGTGATAGGTATTAAAACAAGTAGAGCCCAGATGTTAAGGCATTTAATTTGAGAAATATAGGCAGGCAATAATGCACTAAAATTGTCATGGTTTAAAGAAAATATTGCGATAAATCATTTTAAATTATTCAAAATATTATATTTGGTACTACTATATTAATACTAGCACTTACAAAGGTAAGTTTCATCATGGTCATCAATAAATATTGGTAATCTTATCATTGGTTATCTATTTATTGAAAGAAATGGTTTCAGAACTGAAAATTGTTCTTTATGAAAATCAAGTTTCATCATTATGGTTGCAAATTAAAATTTCATGATGATTCTACGAAGTGGGTTAAGTGGGTGGCTGAACTATTACTTATTCGAATCTTTGAATTTAGCATAATTGAAACACTTATTGTTTACATTTTCATTGTACTCATTTATTCACCAGTACAGTACACAACCGTACCTTCAGTACCTCCTAGATAGATGATTAGATGGCATGCTTTATTCTAACATGTATTAAAAAAACAAAACGAAGGTGTCTGTCCTTAAAAGGGATTGGAATGGCCACACGTAAGCAATTGGATGGAAGTTTGATTGATTATTGGTGCTTGGTGAATAAGCAATTGAAAAAAGGAAGAAGACATAGCAAAAGTATAAACAATTTCATAACCTAATCCTTATTTCTCGGTCACAATACAATGAAAAAAAATAATGTATGAATATGAATTCACTGATATTCAACACAACAAATAACCTAAACGCACATAACACATCAAAAATAAATTCGTAAAAGCCACCAAAGCAACACAACACACACAACACACGACACTAAGTATCCGCCAATAACCTCAAACAAAAAAACAGCTGTAGCAGTACGCAGAGCCGCCGTGGTTGCTTATTGTGAATCCATAATGTTATTTGTAGATCCGTTTCAGGACCTATAAGTTATAGAAAGCCTTATAGGTTCCATAAGTCTTATTGGTTATTCTAGGAACGCGTTTTGCCGCTATGGACTATTTTATAGAACCAATAAACTTATGGAATAACGTTTATGCAACCGGTCCTGTGTCTTGTTTGGATTGGTTTCTGTTTTATTAAATACCTGTGCCAGTGTTTTCGTTATCAGCAGTGATTCGGTGAAGTTTTAAAGCCAGCGTTTTCATTGATATTGCATTGAAAAAGCTGGGAAACAATACTTTCACCCAGCGCGATTAGTTATTTCAACAAATTAATATATATCTTGGACAAATTGAAGCATTTACAAGAAAACTAGGAGGACTATTCTCGAAGTACATTCAGTGTTGTAAATGCTATTTTGAGCAGGTTAGTAAGATATCTAGATATGTGGAAGCAAATTAAATTTTACATTAAACAGATCTATTTATTAATTATTGAACAACAGTGTTACAAATAGTGTTGATTTGTCTGCTTTCTGCAGTATTTTGTTTTCTATTATCCCTCATGCATAAACTGTTTGAAGAAATCGGGATATGTTTTCTCTCCACAACTACGAACAGTTAGAGCAAGCAGATGAAAATATTTTGAAGCGAGCTAAGAAGTAATTCAAAACATTCAGGAATCAGATTGTGTAGATGCATTAATGTTAGATGGGATTTATATTAAATCTTTCTTAGACCCTAAAAAATATAAATGTAGTTGACACAACTTTCGATAATTCAGACGCTGCTACTTCACCTAATGTTTTATTGTTCATATTATATAGATTCCCCTCTTATATTATTTCAGTAGTACTGATGAGTTTTGCGACTCTCACACTCAACCAATTTGTTATAAATGAGGTCTCTTAAGAAAGAGAATTGCACAGAGACGTGATGAATATCACTTTGACAATAAATATGGAGGATTTGTTGAAGAAAGATGCATCTAAATATGCTCGTCAAATGCAATCCGCAACACTAGGGGAGCATTGTTAAAATCTTTTTAGTTAAATTACTCCTAAATAAAGCGTTCTAGACCGGGTGGTCTCAAAGACACGTTCCTCGCTCCGTAATCCGTAGAACAAGAGCTTCTTGGACATTCTATTATATTTTGCTGATCCGGCTCTTTTCGATACTACCCCACGTGTTCTGAGACGTGCCATATCTGAAACTGTGTGTGAATTTAAACTAATTACTGGTATTCGAAGCGATTGAATTGAACGGATGTTCCTCTCAATTCGGATAAAGTTAAATAATATTCCAAGGAGTAGGGTTGTACTTGCCCGATCCTGAATTTTCGCATGGACAACTTTACGTAGCTTTCTTAAGAGTAAAAAGCTTTTCAAATATTTTTGTGATTACCAAGGAAAGCGAAATGCAAACTGTCAAGCAAGGTTGTCTAATTTCTTCAAAGGTTGTTTTCAAGAAATTACTGTGAATTGTTCCAAGAAAATCTGCCAATAACATTGAATAATCCTTTATCCAAAATTGGTTTCAGACGTTAATTTTATTGTTTGTTATTATTTTTTATTTGATATTCAATAAGTACATTATAAAACAATTTATTATATATTTTTGAAATAAATAAATACGTTTTGATAACAACTTTCCCTCTTAAAATGAAATAAAGGGATAGAGAAGAGGGTGGAGTTTACATGTGAGAGTTCTCGCACGGGTACGCTAGTTACATTTGTTCGTAACATTTTCCCCTAATTTTAGGTGACAAGAATGTGTAAATGGCGAAGCTTCTCATTCGCTGTTCCCTGGGTTACTGCGCTGGCGTTATCACGTGACTTCAAAATGCCAACTTCTCTCATTTTATTCGGATCTTAGAGAGAGACGGACCAACGGGCCTCCTCCAAGAGCCGAAAATGGGGAAGATTCATACCGAAAAATAGTAATGGAAAAGTGAGAATGGAAAGAGTTATTTGTGATTTGGCGGTTCATTCCGAGGGCTGGAATGGCTATAAGGTGATCAGATCGAAAATTACTTACTAAAAACGCCTATTTTCTAAAGTTCTTTCTTCACTCAACTAAATTGCGTCATTGCTAAGTGGCCTGCAGTAGTAAAAATGCTATTTAAACACAAAATTGTGTTTCCGACTACAATAGCCAAACTACCCAAGAACAAACAAAATACTCTCGTATAACACTACGCAAATAGTTGTGACGAAAAGAATCTTCAGGAATACAATAACATAGTAGAGGATACAGTGTATCAGTTGTTGTCCCATAATGCAAAACACGAAAAGCAATTATTTAGTGGTTGTCGATTCTTCTTTGGAGCTTTGCTCCCGCATGGCGTCAGCTGTGTCGAATATAGGGCACTGTGAGCTTGGGTTTTAGTACTCACAGTATGAGAACAAACAGAATAATACAATGAAATATTTGCATTTTTCAATCAAAATCGAAACTTTCATGGTTTTTGTATTTTCTCCATGCTCCTGAGCATATAACGAAACCATAGACAACTCTCACATGGGCAGAGGATGCAATCTTTTCTTTTAATTTCTTCGCGCAATGGAAATTAAAGTAGCTCTACAGATTTGAGATGTGTTATTTGTCTGTTGCACCGAAGGGTCTATTTAGATTTTTTCTGTTGTTATATATCCCGGAAAGAACAATTGGCCTCGGCGCCGTTAGATCCCGGGATTTGTAGTCGATTACCCGACCAGAAACCCGCGATGTTTCGAATTCACTTAATCTTCATGAATTCACATTGTTAACGAGTTCGGCCAGCGACGCCGCTTTCGCGGTCGTAGCCTTTCAGTAGGAGCATCTCAACATTCACCTGGATGACTGAGGTAAACCACGAAAACCCCGGTGAGGATGGCCGGCACCGGGATCGAACCCGGGCCTCCCGAATGCAAAGCAAGCGCGCTACGCCTTGAGCCACTACGCAGAGTTCTTTTAATTTAACACAACAATAAATATAATGAGAAAGAGCCCGGTGAGTCGTGGCCCCCCTGTGTTGCCTTTGCTTTGTAAGGGTGAGAGAGGCCGGCCGGGCGCCGGGCCATTTTGCCCCGCCCGCGCGCGCCGAATAACTCAGGCGGCCCCTGACAGGGGGCGTGTCGGCGGGCGGCGATTGGCGCGCGGCGCCCCTCCAGCGGGCGGGCGCGCATGGTGGGGGCCGGTCGGGGGGCGTGGCCGCGGCGGCGGCGGCGGCGCCAGAGGGCGGGGGGCAGTTGCCTGACCGCGGCGCCGCTCGCTAGCCCGAGCCCGTCCCGCGCCCGTCGTCCCGACCGCGCGCTCGCGCTGGGCCTGAGTGACGCCGTGTGCCGACGGACGAGGCGACCTGCCCTGCCCTGCACTGCACTGCCCTGCCCCGCGCCAGCGCTGTGCAAGCGCGTTCCCCGCGACGCGGTCGGGTGTCAGCGGTGCGTGCCGCTTGGGCGTGATCGCCGCCGGTCGTCGGTGACCGGTGGGCGCGGCGGACGGTGATTTTTGGTGAATCGGTGACGCGTTTGAGGATTCGTCAGTTAGCGGTGAGTGGACGATCTGGTGATCTCATGCCGAAGAATCGGCGGACAGTGTTCGGTGACTTTTTGGTAGTGAGATAAGGCGCCTGGTGATTGGTGTGTGCGGTGATCGGAAAATCGAAGGAGCAGAATCGATGACATTCCAAATCTTTGATCAAACGATCCAGTAATAGACAATCGGTGATCTATTTAAATGTGTGATCCGCGAATGTGTGACGCTATGATCGACAACTTAAAAGTGGTGACAGGAAAGTGACTGTTGCCAACCGAACATACATCGGCGTGCTGGTCGATGCTATTGTTTTCAATTGGGTGTGACACCGACCATTGATTGCCCGGTGACTGCTGTCGACTGAGCTTCTATCGACTCGGAGGCCGGTGATTTCGTGTTCTGTGGGCGTGGCAACGAACTTCGATTACTTCCCGGCCATCGATTGCCCGGTGACTGCTGTCAACTGAGCGTCAAGGGACGTCGTGAGTGGGCGTGGCGACCGTACCCGCTCCGCGAGACGCGTGCCTGTTGGGCCAGGTGGCTGCAGGTGTCTTCGATGGACCTGACGACGCGTCCGCGGCCGGTGGCGGCGTGCGGCGGCGACGGCTGCGGGGGCGGCGGCGGAGGCGGCGTGGGCTGCGTGGGCGGCAAGGCGGGTGCCCGCGCCGCCAAGAGCGTCTTCTCCATCCGGTCGCTGGTGGGCGCGGGCGACGGCGAGGCGGAGGAGCCCTCGATCGGTGAGTGCCGCCTCCCGCTGCTGCAGCTGCGGCACGTGGCCTGGCCACGCCCCCTCGCCTCGCGGGCGCGGCCCCCCCGCGGGGCGGGTTTTGCCAACCGCGCCGGCGATGCGGAACCGAGGCATGCGCTCTCCCTCCGTTGGGCGGGCCTCTTCACAAATAAATATGCGAGGAAGTAATGTGTGTGCACATTTTAATGGAAGAATTTATTTGTGATATATCTTCAAGATGAAATTATTTTCCTAGCTTGTTTTAGTTATTTCTCATTTATTTTCTTCTTCCAATTCTTGTTTTCCTTCTTCCAATTCTTGTTCTCCTTCTTCCAATTCTTGTTCTCCTTCTTCCAATTCTTGTTCTCCTTCTTCCAATTCTTGTTCTCCTTCTTTCAATTCTTCTTCTTCTTCCTCTTCCAATTCTTGTTGTTGTTGTTGTTGTTGTTGTTGTTCCTCTTCCAATTCTTGTTCTTCTTTCTCTAATTTACATATTTTTAATTTCGAACGCGCGCAGGAATTTAAAAATCCTTTGCAGCCTCCGTCCAAACCCATGGTGTGTACGGTCTATAGAAATGTCGAATGTGGAGGGGAAAAAATGAAAGACTTTCGATTTTGAAAAATGCAAATATTTTGTATTAATCTGCGGTTTCTCATACTATATGTACCGACTGAATTCTCATACTCAGTGCCTCGACACATCTAACGTCAGGGGACAGCAGAGCTTGAAGAAAGAGTGCGCCCACTATCAGATATTTTCTTCTCGCGTGTTGCCTCCTGGAAAAGCAACTCTTTTGATATATTTCATATGTAAAGGAAACTATCCTGTTTATACTGTATACTGTACTACATTATTGTAGAATTCGAGTTAACTGCTTTTGTTAAATTATTTAATTTGTTTTCTTATACGTCAGTATTGTATTTGTTTTTGATCAGATTGCCATTCAGCATTTTTGCTGTTGCTGCTCACTAGTTCTTCTATTGTTTTTTATTTATGTTTATTGTGTCTTTCGACTACGCTGTCACTACTGTTAACAAACAGATCACATGTATGTAAGAATTGCCTAACGATTAATTGCCAGTCACTATTTCTGTCTGTGTGTGTGATTAATCTTGAATATTAATTGATTACATTTAGTTTTAATGATTTCTGAAATAATGTTTCATTTTTCAAATTACGGAGAGCATTAATTTGCCTTTGGGAGAACCAATTTCATTCGTATTGGTTTTTGATTAATGATAACTCATGTTGAATTTCTTTGCAATTCGTGTTTGGAGGCAACTGAAGTAAACAGTGGATTTTTCACTGTAATGACTTTCTTTGAAACGTATAAAAAGTATTAGACATTATCCCTTCAGCATTCAAAATTGTTTTAGTTGAAATTACCGTAAACTTTTCTGGTTGTCACTTAAAATATTTTTTCAGAGATAAGAGTTTCGTTTCACTTCGCTTTCTAAGATTAGTGGATATCCAAGCCTTGGAATAACTTGATCACTTCTGATAACCACTAACGGTGTTTCGCACATTCCTTTCAGTAATGGTTTTAAGCTCATCATTTGAGTTGATGGATTACTCGAAAGCGGCTGTTTGTATCATGGGTGCAAACTTTACCTCGAGGTCATAAAGGGGTAAAAGTATTGCGAACCTGAATCGAAGGGCTGATATAGAAAGTCCCCACTGCGAATGGTAAAAATGGCACACAACTGTCTGGTTTCGTATATACAAAAGCTGTTAATCCTTGACAAAAACATAGGGCGAAAGAACCTTAGAGAACCCCCCTCAATACTCCGTAGGAAGGAAAGAAAACATGCTATTTGAATTTAAACGGTGCGCTACTCGTGTGTGGATATGTTTATTCATTATCAATGGGGAATTAAGGAACATTTTTCTGTAAGTATAATCGCAGGAATAAGAGTAATGTAGTTTCGGAATAGTTATTAAAATGTTCATGAACATTATTACAGCACTACACAGTACTATAATTTTAAAAATAATTTTAATACTGCATTGTAACAAGAGATACAATCATACTTGTGTAATATAATTGACTAACATATTTGTTAATTTGTTAATTTTAAATGAATCATAAGAATATAATAAAGTGCTTCGTGGACTTGATGAAATTTAATACCAGTTTCAAATGAGCCTGGTGTTGTACATGCGTATTTTGGAAGTCAAATTGAGAAATGAAGCGGAGTTGCGAATTTTTAACAAGCACATTTTTCAAGAAATATAAATAATGAAATTGCATTTCTGAGCTAATGAAATATTTCAGCTCATGGCCATTTTCTGCTTTCATTAAATCTTCAGAATGAAGTATTTTTTAAGAAATTATGTTCATTAAAAGATCTATCCCTGCGTCGCGAAGTATTCTCTATCTCTGATATGCTATCACTACGAAACTTGCTCTTATTGGAGGAACATCGTAGACGTCTCGTATCGTAGACTACTAGACTACTTACTTCTTTGGTGACTGCATTGAGTACTTTTGTTAATAAGTTCAGTGATATTTGTCACTTTTTATTCTTTAATGAAAATGTAGTACAGTTAATACATGAATTAATTTGTTTTGGAGATTTAAACCAACATAAACATAAGGCGGTACCAGTGTTCAACAGAATATGGACATAGGTTGTGTTATATATTAAGTGATAAACAAGTTCAGATTTCGAATTAAATGTATGTAATCATAAAATATTAGATGTGCCGATACGAGTAAAACTCACAGTAGAAAGATCAAGGTCGAAATATGTTTTTCGCCCATTAGTACTGTTTATTACAAAATTATTTTTCGGCAGCAAAAAGAGATAATGGTAGATGGCATTTCTTCGTGTACATTATTATACAGACGTTACTGTACCAAATGTCCCAACTGTACTTATTATTATTGTTTGTTAAATTACGCGTAAAATCTCTATAAAAGCGGACGAAAATCCAATGAAAATAATGTTTTCCGTAACTGATCTGTGTAACAAAATGAACTTTAAATTTTTCGTTCAGAAATATAGACAAAACCGTGAATTTCTTCGTCAAGAACGTTTGAAATGATGATTATGATGATGATGATAATAATAATAATAATAATAATAATAATAATAATAATAATAATAATAAATTTTTAAATCATTAATTTACTGAATCTTCATCCGCAATTAAGTAAAATATTGAAAAAGGAATATTCTATTATATGTGTATTACAAGGGTACCACAATTTTTAATTTTATTTATTTATTTATTTACTGTCTTGGTTCCAATATTTCAATTGTTTTCCTTCATTCGGCAGGAAACAGAATAGATAAAAATTGAGTGTAATAAGATAATAAGATATAGTGAACAATATTTTTGGACGCGAATTGAAGAAATAGAAAAGGCATCAGGTATGGACCGGGAAGGTCATATTATCTTGCGTACAGAATGAATAAGAATCTGACAAAAATTTCGATTTTTCCAAGAGCACATTCCTTTCCTGACGATAGTTGAATGAATTGCAGCTCCAAATTAATATAATGTTAACTGATGTAGCTCCTTACACAGTTCGTTGCAATATCTAAAGTTTATATCCTCGAAGACTTAAAAAGAAAATGGAAATTGTCTGCAACAATAATTGAATTGAATATCTTGGATTTGATTCTCTTAGAAAGTGTCCCACGTCCATAACAAACGTACTTCTCCCTAAGGCGCTACCGTCGAGTCGGTGGCCTGTCGCTCGAGGTATCTTTCTAGAGGGTCCTCGTGGCTTTACACCCTTGAGAGCGGGTCAACAGCTCTCGACTCTCAGCGGCAATTTCGGTAGCAACTGCCGAGGAGCTCCGGGTTTCCTAAAGGTCAAAGCGACGGACGCCCTTAACGAATATCCAACCTCTTTATCGAACACGAATGACGAACATCAGCCATCTGCCCGCGTCAATTAGAATTCGGCTCTATCTCAGAGGCGTACTTAGGTTCTCGGAGGCCCTTCTGCAAAACCATGGATTCCCAGCTTTAGAACCCTATTCGGAAAATGCGTTTGCAAAAAGTATGGTTCCTGAATTCGCATCTACGCGCGGAGAATATTATTTTCTGCTTTGAAACACATTTGTATGTTCATGTAGAAGTATAAAATTACGTGACAGTTGCAAATAATGCGAGAAAATATGTAGTGTTGAACCACCACTAGTTTCATATTTATACCACAAATGACGGGAATCCTGGAAAGTTTTTTCACAAGCCATAGACATTCAAGCAAACCCAAAACATGTTACAGTCTTATGAAAAATTTCAACGGAGTTTATATTGAAAATTACACTATCAAACATTAATTTAAACATTGGTAAGGAATCTCACTCGTTTGCGTTCAGGTTTGTCATTATTACTAGAATGAGCTTTCTACAATTTATCACGTCTTCAGAGAATTCATAGTAAGATACGGTATGTACGATATCATATTTGAAATTGTTGGTAAACTTTAAAGGTAATTCACATTCTGTATTTAATTATTCCCTCAACAATTATTTTACCGCGTCAGTTAGTGGTTATAAATTCGTGTACAAAGTGTTGCGATACAGGAAATAGATAAAACAACGAAAATGCGTCATGTGGGAAGCTGCAGGCATATTGATATTTTAGAGGAAGGTGAAGTTTTGAAATGTTAGCCGATATTGTTAAATATAATCACTCATTAAAACATAGATACAAATTAATTGAACTTCTTTCTTTCAGAAACGGTTTCAATTTATTTTTTTCTAAGCTTTTTACCAGTTAAATGGAGTAATTACTTTTTCTAAATTTCTAACATATTCGTTACAATTTTCTACATTTTTTATCTTGTTCATAGTTATTTGCTGGCACAACGCACAATTTTCGATTTCTAAATACATTTATGCCCTTTGCAAGGTACGAAGAATTTGTATTTATATAATGTGTAAGTTTTTTTAGTCTACTTCTAATTTTTGGCGTATAAATATGGAAAGTTTCAGGATAAAAAGTATATATCAACACCAGCAATTAGCGTATCAGTTGATGGCGTGCTT